GTACCATGAATAAGAAAATTATATATAAACTTTGAAGTGACTAAATTTTGGACATGATGTTATACTATAAATCTTAATGAGTGAACCTTATGTCTTAGTTATATAATTCTTAGACCTTAAACCCCAAATGGTGCATGTAAGTTTTGCATATATTTGGACAAATCATGACTTTCGATTTTTGTTTCTAATCAAATTGATCTTAGTGTATGAGATTTATAGAATACGACTCATATTTTAATCTTTAAGAATTAAAATACAATATAGTATCATGCCTCTAACTCCGGTCGATTCAAACTTTAGATATCATTTTCTATCCCTATATATTTATTGAAATGATTATTAGCAGCGATATCTTATTGTATTCATTTAGCTAATTTAGAATATTGTTAGTTTATTAATACATTATGTTTATAATCAAGGTGCCTTATTAGTTTTCAACTAATCATATTTCATTTGTTATAGTTTTAATTTTAAAATTTACTAAATGTCAAATTAATTATACTATCAAAATTATATACATTTTGACATATTTGGAATAAAAAAATATGTTAGTATAGCATCATATAACATCATATATAATAGCATTCATGAACTGTCAATTCTTCTATAATGGTACCCCATCTATGAGGCAATTACCAATTGTATTTCCCACCATCAATTTTTTGTTAGATTGTTATGAAAGTGAGTCTCACTTTGCTTACTGGACTTTGACTAAGCTTCCAATCTCTCTAAAGTCAACTTAGAATGATCATAATACTCCCTAACTAATTCATGATTTACATATTAAAAATAAAACCACCTAAGTGCCTCTGCTCTGCGTCGTTTTCTGTTATGATGAATGGTACCCTGTCGGGCTATTTTACTCCCTCCAGGGGTTTACGCCAAGGGGATCCTTTATCTCCTCTCCTTTTCGTGCTCTGCACAGAGGGGTTTGCGGCCCTACTTCGGAAGGCTATTTCGGAGAAAAGGTTGGCAGGGATTAAAGTAGCCCCTCGTACCCCAAGACTGTCTCGCTTATTTTTTGCAGATGATTCTTACCTATTCTTGCGAGGCACACTCCAGAAATGTGAAAATCTTATTGAGGTCTTGAATGAATATGAGGAGCTTAGTGGACAAAGAGTGAACTTAGCAAAGTCGGCTGTATGCTTCGGTAAGAATATAGCTCGGCCAGACCGGGAATTCTCAGCTTCAATTCTGGGGGTTGGGGCAGCTGGGGTCTATGATAAATATCTGGGTCTCCCGACTCTGATGGCTTGATCTAAATTGGAAACTTTCCGGTATTTGGAAGCTAAACTCTTGGAGAAGCTCCAAGGGTGGAAGCAGAGGACACTTTCTTGGGCGGCTAAGGAAACTCTGATCAAGTTTATTGCATTGGCTTAACCATTGCATGTGATGTCTTGTTTCAAGCTACCTCTATCCCTGTGTCGCCTTTTGGATAAGCATGTTGCCCGATTTTGGTGGGGTGAGAATGAAGGCCATTCGAAGGTGAGGTGGATGTCCTGGCGTGACATGTGTAGGAGTAAACATGATGGGGGAATGGGGTTTCGCCGGTTTGAGCACTCTAATCAGGCGCTCTTGGCCAAAATCGGGCGGCGTATCTAAGTGAGCCTCATTCACTTCTCGCCCAAGTTTACAAAGGAAAATATTTCCCCAATGGACATTTCCTAACTTGGTGCTGGCATAGTATACTTTTTGGTCGACGATTATTGGAGATGGGAATACGTTGGCAAATTGGGGATGGCCGTTCGGCGTCCCTGCTTCACTCTACTTGGGTCCCTGAGTTCCAGTTGGAGCCCTTGCGATATAATCCGCAGGTGCTACCGGTTGGCGGTGACCCGCTGGTGGCGGAGGTGATTTGTGAGGGGGAGGGGCGTTGGTGTGACCTGAAACTTCATCAGTGGTTTGATCCTGCTACTTGTCGCGTTATAAAATCCATCCACCTTCCGCGGGGAAATGTGGAGGATAGACTCATTTGGCATGATACAGTGGATGGGAATTCTCGGTGAAGTCTGCTTACCATTTGGCCATCGCCTTAGAAAGAAGGAGGGGTCAATGGAAGGTATCGGTCGATTGGATGGATAGGGCCAGTTGGATCCGGTTATGGGAGGCCAATATCCCGCCCAAGTTGAAGGTGTTCGTTTGGCAGATCCTTAATCGGATTTTACCAACCACTGAAGCTCTTATTATTAGGAAGATCCCGGTGCTTCCTCGGTACCCGGTCTGTTGGGCCCCCCGAAACCATGGACATTGTTTTTGGATTGTCTAGTGGTGCGTGCCCTTTGGGGGTTGGCGGGGCTGGAACACCTTGGAGAAGGCTTGCCGCGTCACACGTTTCCTCTGTTTCTTGAAAAACTGCTGACTCTAGTGCAACAGCCGACACTGTTTATGGCCGTTGTTGCCATCCTTTGGCGGATCTGGAGATCTCACAATTGGGTGGTATTTGAGGGCAAGCAGTATGGGCTTCCTGCGTTGATGCGGTAGTTCACGCAGCAATATGAGGAGTGGGTAATGCTCCCGGTGGATAAGCCTTTGCAGGCCCCGATTTTGGGGAGTCAGGCATCGGGACCAGTGGGTCCGTCAGGGCTCGTTTGTGGGTGGGATGGTGCTACTAGAAAGGGATCGCATTCAGCCGGAGGCTGGTGCTTATGACCCCGGATCGAGCCATCCTGAGGGCCACAGGGGTGCATTTCCTGGTCCTTGATGATCCTTTGGTGGTGGAATTACTTGTCCTTCGTGAGGCAGTTCTCTGGTGTTTGGGTCAGGGGTTAACATGTGTTAGATTTGAGGGGGATGCCAAGGTGGTCATTGACAAAATCAAACGCGCTGAGACGCGGGATAACATGATGGGTGCTGTTCTGGAGGAAGTAATACAGTTTTTTGACAATCATCCGGGGGTTTAGTGTTCGGTTCGTTGGTCGGAGTAACAATAGGGTAGCCCATTTGGTGGCTAGGAAAACCCTCTCCTTGTATCCAACTATGAGTCGTTTCTTTAATTTTCAGGCCTGGATGATATCCAAGATGTAACTATCTCTTCTTTGGAATCAATATAAGATTATCTTTTGTCAACAAAAAAAAACATTTCGACAACAAAACTTTCCTATACGAATTGGGAAATAAAATATGCAGAAATATAAGAAAAAGCAAATGTATTTATTAGAGAATAGTCAACGCCTACATATTATTCATTAACTTTTCAATCTATAAATTATCCATTTGTTCTGTGGGTCGCTAGGTTGTTGCATTGAGGAAAGAAGAAATCTCATAAAATGTTCATGCGATGTGAATTTTAATGCATGTAATGTTTAGTGTTTTAAACATTTTACTATTAAAGATTGACTTATGATTAAAAAAAAAAAAACAGGAACAACCTATTGTGAAGATAGAAGTTTTGTTAAGGAAGACAAAGACATTATAATTGGTTGAGATGACGGTGCTTTAGAGGGCAGAGGCAGACTTATCACAAGAAATCCAAAATAAAATTCACAATAATTATTGACAACGATGAGCAATTAGTGTGGTCTCGTTAAATTTATAAGAGTCGATTTCTTTGCATGACGTTTGTTTTTTACTTTAATTAATGACTTTAGTCAATAAATCGAGTAAGCATGTTGAGAATTATACCAGTATGATATTTTCAAAATTTAACGATTTGAAAGTTGTTATGAAATAAAACAAGCCACAATTAGTATGTTTATCTATTCAATTAACGAAATTCATCCAGCTAACGGACGGGCCCAAATCTAGTACTATTTATGGTGGTAAGAGATCTAAGCACCCTAACCAAACTAAAAAAAGGGACAAGCTACGGTGCTAATCCTATAGAGGTTAGCACCGTCCTAATAGTCGTGGTAGTGTTTTTGCATGGAAGTTTTTGGTAGTCTTTTTTTATTGATCGCCTGTGTTGTTAATATGTAGGGTTTGTAGTAGTTTGATGTACGCAGTCATGGTAGAGTTTCTGGTCATAGTTGTCTTGGGACTATGTAGTTTCGTCAATATTGAGGTGCAATATATTGGTAGTAGTTGTTTTAATAATACGTGTGTAGTGTTTGTATGAATACGTGTATAGCGTTTTGGGGTTAGCACCGGGTTAGCAGGTGCTAACGGGGTATGGGATTAGCATCCCATCCCACCCCTAAAAAAAACTATTTACCCGCAGAGAAAAGAAAAAGAACTAAAAAAACTATTTAGAAATTAGAAAGTGACATAATTTAATGGTCAGAAATTCAGAAATTCGCTGGTTCCTCGTGATCCATAACAAATGTCCCATACGTATCGCCAGCTTTGACAAAGTCTAAGCTCGCCTAACTCCAACGCATGGTTTAAAATAAAAAGTTTCTTTGTCGTTGCCAGCTAATTGCTTGCTTTTTATATTTACTTCCATTTCCAGCTAATTAGTTGCCGCCCTATGTCTAATTGTCTATATAACACCCCCTAATCGTCCGACACGGCACCGAATAAAGCCACGTGCTTCCATCTTAGCGTTCAATCTCCACAAACCAACCTTCCATCTTGACCGTCGGTTCTCCATCTCCATCCTATATAGTTCTCTTTCTCTGTCTACGAATTCATTCATTTCATCATTATCTCTTCTCCGTCTCCCCTATTCCCCATTCCCTTCTCCTCGTTCGCGTTTAATCCAGATCTAGTCTCCATGTTGGTTCGCCGTGGCGCGTGGCTGATGTCTTCGTGTAGATCTCGCAACGATCTACCCTGTGATGGTGGTTTCATCGGCGGAGATGTTCGTTTCGGTAACTTCGGCTAGCATGACTCAGGTCTGCTCAAAGGTTATAATCCGAGCTCTTGATTCCCGATTGTTGCAGGATTTCCGTTGAATCATTAAATGATTTTCTGTTTTCCATTCCGGCAGGTCGGCCAGTCTCTTGCTTTTTGTTGATTTGCGATATTGGCGTCGTTTCGTTGGTATGGTTCCGTGTATGTAATTAGTCGATTCTTTTTTGGCAGATTAATGTGTTCTTCAATCGTTGAAAGCTTCTGTTTGTTTATATGTACACGTAGATCTGGTATGTAATTTGATCGTCGATGAAGACATACACGAAATCTTCTGCTGGCAGATCCAGATTCAGATCCGTGCTATTGCAGCTTGCGGTCGCCGGGGCGGAGCAGTTGGAAGATTGTGGTGATGATGTATAAGATATGGGAGGACGAAGGGCGCTGTGTTCGGTGGCCTGGCTGTCCTGGGTAATATCTTTTGTCATCCGACCTTTGCCATGACGGGTGCGCTCGCTTGTCCCAATTGAATAAGAAAGGAAATCGTTTTGTGTTCCAGGGGGAAGTTCGCACGTGGGATTTGCCCGGGTTCTTCCCTCTGCTGTCTCGAGTCTCTCTGTCTTCACCCTTCCCTTTCTCCATCCTTCCCTCTGTGCTACAAAGCTCAGAGCTTTTTCTCTGCCAGACTCTTCAAGCGGTTGTTTACATGGGCGCATCTATCAATCAGCATCACAGCAATATCCTTTTTCCCTAGTGCGATTCGATCGGCAACCTAAGGTACTTTCTACCCTTCCAGATAACTCCTTACCATATTCGATTCCATCTTGATTCTCGACATAGCTTATTCATCATCGGTATCTTATTCCGTCATAGCTAATACTACGACCGGTAGTGAATTATATCATACTCCTGGTACTGAAATCATTTTAAACATTTTGCAAAATTGGCAGTTGTTAAAATTTGGTGTTCTTGGACTTCATTGTGCATGAGGTAACTGTTATCTTTGATCGTTTTGCCCTACAAGGCTGCAGGGTACTTTGTAATGAAATAGACGTAGCCTTGTTGTAGAGTTAAAAAGAACTACGAATACATCTATTATTATTATGTGCTGCAGCCTGTAGTTAATATTGCGTGATCTGCTCATAGCAGTGATTATTTGAATTCGGATGGTAATCCTCTTGGAATGTTAAGCCTGGATATAGCAAGCATTTGGTTGGTCGAGCGGATTTCCACATGTACAGATATCTGTAGGTTGTGAAACTTCAGGGTATTTACCACGAATATATTGTTTAAAAACTATTTACAATAATATTGTGTTTTGATGGAGGGAAGGCAGCGACGACCCACGAGACTCGGAACCAAAGCCTGAGACTCGGTTGGCCTTGCTCTTTCCTTTTATTTTCTTATCCTTTCCTCCCTGCCCTCTCGCATCAGTACCACTCACACACCCCAGACCCTCCTCCTTTACATCTAACCCAGTGCTGACGCCAGAAGAAAGAGTGACGACGACAAGAAAAGATGGCTCGTCTCAGGCCGCGGTAGGAGCTCGACGAAAGCGCCCCAATTAGAGTGGCAGCGCAAGTAAATCTGCCATGTCCGACCATGAACTACAGCTGGCGCGCGGCTGCAAGGGCGTTGGCGGCAGCAACGAATGTTACAGGAGTAAGCACACTTGGTGCTTTTAGCTAGGGGAGAAGAACCTGGCCGAAGTATTTACACCTGTAGCGTTCGTCGCCGCCGCCACGCCGTCCCCTTTCTATGCCGTCGGGTGCTGCTGTTGCTGCTCGTCATCGGACTTGGCAGATTTGCTTGCGCCGCCGCCTGAGACTGAGGTCCTGAGACCCTCTTTTTCTCGGCGTCGCCGCTCTTTCTTTTGGGTCCTGGTGTCCTGAGACCCTCTTTTTCTCGGCGTCGCCGCTCTTTCTTTTGGGTCCTGGTGCGAGAGGGCAAGGAGGAGGGGGATAAGAAAATAAAAGGTAAGAGCGAGAGCGCTTGAGACTAGGGTTTCTCGCTATCTTTTCCCTTTAAAACTCGATTTTCTGAGTCTCGTGTGCAGTCGCTGCATTCCCTCCATCAAAACAAAATATTCTTGTAAATAGTTTTTTGAATACTATATTCGTGATAAATTAAAAAAAAACAATATATGGAGAATTTACCCTGAAACTTCAATGGCTGGATAGACGTGAAAATGGGATATGCACGGAATGAACTAAAAAGGAGTCTACAAGTCTTTTGATTTTGTCGAGGTGATACTGATCTTGTATCATCTTATTTAGTGACGGTCCATTTGTCCATTATGATTGCATGCAATTTGGATTTGATCATAGTGTATTCTTTATTAGCTTGTGCAACTGTTCTGTCGCTTATTGTTTGCCAACTGTAGGCATTTACTCGTTAGTAGAGAGGATAACTACGTTATTGATAACCTAATAGTGACGGTACATTTGTCCATTAATGAGCCCTTTGCCTGGGTTTCTGCAAGTTTGGCATGTGTTCAGCAAATTCATTTTGTTGCGTGGGTTTGCGACGGAGCTACCATTTATTTCTTTAATTTTGGCTGGAGAGGGATCCTCTGATGCGTCCATTTGCACTGGGTAGTAGTTAAAATGAAATTTCGGATGAACATCTATTAGCGGTTTTGATTCAAGTTCGGTGTTGTTTGGAAGTTATTTAGAAGTTATGATTCTAGATGAATTATTCTTTGAATTCATTATATGTATTATGGAGAATTCGATGTTTTTTTTGTTCAAAATTTTATTCAATACACCGGCCCTCAAATTTTATATTAATCAAAATAACTCATTTTAAATCATTTCGGATGAACACCATCTATTAGCGGTTTTGATTCAAGTTCGGTGTTGTTTGGAAGTTATTTAGAAGTTATGATTCTAGATGAATTATTCTTTGAATTCATTATATGTATTATGGAGAATTCGATGTTTTTTTTGTTCAAAATTTTATTCAATACACTGGCCCTCAAATTTTATATTAATCAAAATAACTCATTTTAAATCTCAGTAAAACCGCTCATTTTGATTATGTCAAATAGGTGAGAACTTCCTTTGAGTTTGTGAGTTTTATTTTGTTCCACTTTCAATTTATGAAGTGATTTTTTTCCATTTTTTTTAAAATTTTGAATAGCTACAAACGAGAAATTCTTTCAATATTTGTATATATAATACCTGTATTCTTTAAATATACATATGGTAATGCTAGGCTTTTTGTCAGAGGCATGGACGAAGCTATTGATATGGTATAGACAGACGGCAAATGTTCAAGTTTAGTGGTATGTTTCAAATATATGGTAAAAGAACCTTGCAGTGGGTCGTGTTTATAATTTTGTTCGTTTGCTTTGAACTGATTTTGCTGTTGAAATTTTATGGGAGTCTTTATAAACTATTTGGGAAGATCTGTAAGCTCAAAGTGGTAGAGCGCTCCATTCTCGCAGGGGAATGTGAGAGGTTGGTGGTTCGAATCCACTCGGATCTCGATTTTTGTTTGATTTGGTTCATCGTGGATTTCTTTTTGTTCTGTTTACTTACAAGTTACACGCCTGGACCTCTGCTTTAATTTTAGCCACGGCTGGTTGGTCATAGGGAAGGATCAATCACCCTTTGCTAAAATTTTATAAATTCGAACCAATGTTGAATTGAACCGGAGTGTGAATCGGTAATAAATTGGTGGATTATAATCGAGAACAAGATAAATGGGGGAGCAGATTCGGTAAGTAACCATGAGTAACCCGTCCACAACAGCATGACATCAGCATCTTCTCTCTCCTGGAAAGCCTTTAATTTTCCCCTCTTCAATCTTTGACAGTCGATTTCTCACTCATTTTAAGTCGAAATTTAATTTTTTTTTCACAGTTAGATCAGATTAATTGTGCTCTTCAAAATGATATCCACTTTAATATATTTTTCGAACAAAAAAATCCCATTTTTTACTAGTCTATACCATATGGTATTGACTGATATTGAAAAAAAGTAGAAATATATTAATTGTCATTTACGACTTTTAACATTTTATACAAGATACCACCCCGTACCAGGGTGGTATTGTATGATATTGTGTGATATTTTTTGGTCCTGTAATTTGTTCACCCATAAATTTGTAGATCCAATAGATCATGATGAACTCGTCCCTTCTGTGCAAACGTTTTCAAAAATGAATTAAAAACGAAGAAGATACTACACAATACCACCCCGGGGTGGTATTGTATGGTATTTTTTGGTCATGTAATTTGTTCACCCATAAATTTGTAGATCCAATAGATCATGATGAACTCGTCCCTTTTGTGCAAACGTTTTCAAAAACGAATTAAAAATGAAGAAAATACCATATGGTATTCAGTTGGTACCGAGAAGTCAGAATTTTTTTTTCTCAAAAAATATTGAAAATTGATCTCATTTTGTAGAGCACGATGAACTCGTTCCACCTGTGAAATTTTTTTTTTAAAATCAGAGTTAAAACGAAAAAGATATGAGCCGATTAAGAAAGCTAGAGAAAATAAAAATGTTCTTCAATTCTCCATCCTTAGATCTGGATTTTCTAAATTAAGAGTCCAGATTTGGTTATTGATGGATGCATAACCCATGGTTATGCACTCTATCTTGAGCCGATAAATGGGGCCTAAGATAGGTGCATAACCATGGGTGCATGGTTATGCACCCATCAATAATTAAATCTGGACTCTTCATTTAGAAAATTCAGATCTAAGGATGGAGAATTAAAAACCATTTTTATTTTTCGTAACTTTTTTAATCGACTCATATCTTTTTCGTTTTAACTCGGATTTTAATTTTTTTTGCACAGATAGAACGAGTTCATCGTGCTCTACAAAATGAGATCAATTCTCAATATTTTTTGAGAAAAAAAAATTCCGGCCTCTCGGTACCAACTGCATACCATATGGTATTTTCTTCATTTTTAATTCATTTTTGAAAACATTTGTACAGAAGGAACGAGTTCATCATGATATATTATATCTATAAATTTATGGTTGATAAATTACATGACCAAAAAATATCACACAATACCATACAATACCACCCTGGTACGGGGTGGTATATTGTAGTACACAATGATAAAAGTCGTAAATGACAGTTAATATACTTCTACTATCATGTATTCAACCATCCTACAGTCTTGGTTTGTTCATACCACCACGGTACGCTTTTCAAACCATAGGTATGTTCTTATTTCAATACCAGTCAATACCATATGGTATAGACTTAGGTAACCAGAGCGTGGAGCGAGAGCGGGAGCGGGAGCGAGAACGTCAAAGCGCCAATCTTTTAAGAATTCATAGTTTAGAGTGTGAACAAAGCACTAATATTTTATTATTATTCATTATTGTATAAATATAATTTAAAAAAAAATACTATTTTGGCATTTTCTAAATCCCAATTCCTCACCCATCTGCGACCAAAAAATATATATAAATCACCATCACTTAAGCGTTTTCCTTCTCTAGTTGTTCACAGCTCTGTACCTTCCTTTTTATTCCAATAGTTTTTTTTACTTTTCTTCCTTTCTTTTCTTTTCTTTTCCGTTTCACTCTCCTTTACTCTTCGTATTCCTTTCCCACCATCTCTTCCAGAGCTTTCTTCAATGGTGGATTTGCCCAATTTCAAACAAAATCACCCTCTCTTCATTAATTAAGCTGAGAATCCGGCATCCCTGCTCGTCTCCTCCATCTTCACAGTTCCAATTTCAA